GCTTGCTGCTTGTTTGCTTGCTTGCTTGCTTGCTTGCTTGCTTGCTTGCTTGCTTGCTTGCTTGCTTGCTTGCTTGCTTGCTTGCTTGCTTGCTGCTTGTTTGCTTTTTTGCATGTTTGTGATTGTTTGTCAAGCGGTCAACTACGACCTGCAGACGACGAAGGGCTACGCCCCACAGAACGCTGCAAAGGCGCTGACCAGGTGCTACATGGATGACAGAACGTGGGTCGACACAGACCTGCAGCGCTGCTACGACAGGGCAGACTGTTGGCTTGCCTGGAGACGGCGCTGGGTTTCAAAGAAAACGTGCACAAAGCCAAAGCACGCAGCGAGACCCACGCCGGCAGCAGCTGCAGCTGAACAGCAGAGACCTGAATGGACCAGCCCGGGAAGGACTGTCAAGGTCTTGGGAGCACACCTCCGAGCTGAAACCAGGGCCAACACACGGCAGGAGCTCTCGCTGGATCACTGGCACAAGCACACCCACGAGAGCAAGCTCAGAACCGACGGAGCCACGCCGCAGGGCTGCCCTCTTGCGCCCTTTACGCTCGGCCGCTGGATGCTGGCAGGTCACCGTGCCCAGCACGTGTCTACCGGCCGCAAGCTAGCCAGAGCCAAAAGCGGGCTCTGCTCCAACTCCCGTGCAACTGCTGTTCCACGACGATGGGATGACGGCAAGGCACTCTTCGCCAGTCACGCCTTTCGTGCCGCACGGCTGCGAGCGCAAGGCAGCCCATGGCCCAACAAGCCCGCCGCTACTGTGGGCATCCTGCGGCGGTGGATGACCAAACAAGGTTGGCAGGCCGCTGGGCTTAGAACCCCGGAGGCGGCAACAACATAAAGCAAGCTCACGCAGATCTCGAGCGATTCGGCATGTCGCTCCGCAATGTGAGACAGCAGTGGCGCTTCCAACAACAAATGGCGCACCGGCCATAAACAGGAGGCCAAAGCAATCGCAGGCACCCTCCTGCCTGCCGACCTTGATGCGGCCTTCAGAGACGTCCACTTGGTCAAGCTCAGGGAGGCCTTCGATGAGGCCGACGCCGCCGGCTGCTCCGTGGCTAGGCCGCGACACCGGCAACGCGGTCACCAACCACGGCAACCAACCGCCCATATGCCTGACTGCCGCAATCTGGGGTCGTTGTCGCTTGAGCACATCGTGCACCCGCGTCCCAACTGCGAGAAGGACCAGGCAACCTCCTGCAGACACGCACGCGGGCGCGTTAATCTCCAATGCGACCAAGCAGCGACTGTCAGAGCCATCTGCCTTGGCCACCACAGCTTGCCTTGCCCGGGACTGGCGCTGATGCAACTGATGGTTTTGGTGTGTGCTACAGTGCTACCTCACGCTTCGCTTTGTCACCCAGCACTCAGTTACACACTGGTCCTGAACAACAGGACCTGGCGCACAGCACGCGCAAGCATTTTGCCTAAACACTGGCGGCCACTGGCTGGCAGAACCCTAGGGCTCCATGGAGCCTCCCCGCACAGCGGCTCCTGCCTTCAGGCCGGCCCCTTTTGCTGCTGATAGCAATGTGCGTCTTCGCCAGCTGCGGCGGGCATCTTCGCCAACAAGGGCGTCAGCAGCTACAACTTTTCTCTATGGTACCGCTTTGGCGTGATTTTGGCCCAGCTTGTGTCTGACCAGCGCCGATTCCGAGCAGCTTGTCCAGAGGGACAAGCGCGAGGCATCCCGAGTGACCTTCTAGGTGGTTGACATGTGTTTGTTTGCTCGTTCGCTTGCTTGCTTGCTTACTTCTTGTCTGCTGAATTGCTTGCGTGCGTGCTTGCGTCGCGTGCCTGCGTGCTCGCGTGCTCGCGTGCTTGCGTGCTTGCTTGCTTGCTTGCTTGCTTGCTTGCTTGCTTGCTTGCTTGCTTGCTTGCTTGCTTGCTTGCTTGCTTGCTTGCTTGCTTGCTTGCTTTGCTTGCTTGCTTGCTTGCTTGCTTGCTTGCTTGCTTGCTTGCTTGCTTGCTTGCTTGCTTGCTTGCTTGCTTGCTTGCTTGCTTGTCGGTTGGTTGGCTGGCTGGCTGGTTGGTTGGTTGGTTGGTTGGTTGGTTGGTTGGTTGGTTGCTTGGTTGGCTGTTTGCGGTGTGTTTGTTCTGTGAATGAGAGATTTTGTTTGTGTTTGTGTTTGTGTTTGTTTGAGTGTTTGTTTGTTTGTTTGTTTCATTGTTTGTGTTTCTTGTGTCTTGTTTGTTCTTGTTTGCTTGTTTGCTTGTTTGATTGTATTGCGTATTCCCCGTTATGTGGTTTTTTCATGTATTTTATGTGTCCTCCATTTGTTGTTGGTTTATTTGTTTCTTCTGTTCGTGATGTGTGTATTGATTAGTATTTTGTATATCGTTGTTTTGCATCTTTGTTTGTTTGTTTGCTTGCATGCTTGCTTGTTTGTTTGTTTGTCTGCGTGCGTGACTGCTTGTTTACTTGTTGTTTGTGTCTCAAAGGCAATGTAGATAATTCAGCAACTCGAATGTTGCCTTTTGACTCAAAGCACCCTTATGTAAAGACTGTGATTGTAATTTCCCGCCAGCAATTATACTACATCAAAGGGGGCCAACAAGGTGTGGCACAACACAAAGCAACGTTTCTGGCACCCCACCAGAACCCCGCCCTTTAAAGACGGCCATTTGCCTCCGGAATTAAAGTCCAAAGCCGGAAAGAGACATACATTGCAAAAACTATTGTTAGAATTTCTGCCAACGATAACTGGCTTCATAGGCTTATGGGTTTCTTTTCCCGATTCCGAAGCCACAGCAGCTAGCCGGAAGCAACATTTCATTGCATATTACATGTGTTTGTAAAGCCCATAAAAGGTTTGACAAGCTAAGAGTACCCTTCAAGGTGAGGCAGTGGTCCGATTTTGACACTTCCGCCTCTTTTTTCGGGTTTCCATTGGAGGCGCCGGACGGCACCGTGCCCAACTGCACCGAGACCCGCAAGTTTTGGTCAAGCGTTCCGGCCGCCTGGGCCGCAAGAGGCGGGCTATCCGGGTGCCCATTTCTTGACGGCTATTGGGTTGGATCTTTAGATTTTAACTTTTTGGAAACTCAAAGCGTTTGACAGTGTAAAGAGAATGGGTTTTATTAGTTGGCAATGATAGGTCGCTGGTAAACGGTCTGTCCTAGAGATTAGGATGGATGCAGCATTTGGATGAGTCCCATCCGTTCCTTTCCCTTTGGTCACTCTCTCCTGTCCCTAACCCTGTACCTCGCTCCCTTTGTTCGCGAGTAAACAGGATATAGCGAGTGGATGAAGTGGATCTGTGGTCAAGTCCTTCCAAGATAGACGGTGTAACCGTGGGAAGTGGAAGGACAAGAGATCCACCATCCCTTTCTTCTGGTCCCTTCGTAACCTCCAGAAAGCCATGTAACAGCTGCCAACTAATAAATCCCAGAGGTGTTAACGAGAACTTGTCCATTGGCGAGCGAGGGAGGAGAGAGACAGATGGGGAAGTGAGTGACCGGGAAAGATGGTGTGAGTGGTAAAGAGATGTCCCTCACCCATCCATTCCCTTCCTGTCACTCCCATCATCTCTTTTCCTTCGCTCACTTTGTTCAGTGTGCTCACCCATTGACAAGTTACCGCGAGCGAAGGCAGCGGGGAAATGGGTGAGTGATGAAGAGAGAGAGGGAAGGGTGTGTGAGTGTAGGAAGGATTAGGATGTAGGCAATCATTTGTTAACCCTTCTTCTTTGCCTTTCCTTTTACCTCCAATGGCATTCATTTGCTTCTCTGGAATGCATTGGAGAGAAGAATTATCCATTGGCAGTCTTCTTTAGGATTCTTCGTTCACAGGCTATTCCTATCACTTGTCCATCATCCTTCCTCCTTTCCTCTCGCCCACCAGTTAGACCTGAGGACGAGTCAAGGAGAAGGAATAGAAGGGAATGAATGAACTTGGAAACAGAGGCTGGGTGACAAGTGAATGAATGGGAAGGAAAGGATATTTGTCTTCTTATTTGGTTTCTTCTTTCATGAAATGCTTCCTTTATTATATTTTTTCCTAATCCTTTCCATTCCTAAGATTAATAAATAGATTTGTAAAAGAAATGAAAAGATGTGGAAAGGACTAGTAATGGAAAGGAGATAGTGAATGAAAGTCTTTATCTTAGGTTTGTTGGTTATTTTGTTTGTGTCCTTTCCCTACCTCAGACTCTCTTTCCCTTGGCTGTCTGGTCTAGATTCTTCATTCCCACCAAACCCCTAAAAAGTTAAACTTTTTGCAGGGGGTCAACAGCAACCAAGATTCAGGGTTTTGGTTGGCTGGCTTTCCAGTAGGCCACAATCAATGGTGAACTCGCCCAGAAACTGAAGGTTCGGGCTCAAAGAAACCCATAAATTGCACACGTCCTCCCACTGTGGACTGGATCTGTGGTGAGGTTCCATGACCTGGGTCACCACGTTTGCAGAGTAGAATCTACGGAAGCGGATGGCATTTGTCATGAACAAAATGAAATTAGATAGGTCGTTGATGATGCTCAGCAAGTTCCCATGCCAGTTGGTGACGCCATGAATATCGACCTTGTCTCACATATCAAACCACACTTGCTTTTGATGCAGATGTTTTTTGACTTGTCTGAGATCCAAAACGATGACCACGACAAACATAATGCAGCTCTTTCTTAAGTTTGATATGCGGAGCGTTTTTGTTTGTGTTCTGATTGATCGCATTGCGAATCGGCGTGAAACAACTAGTCATCCGCTTGACTTACCCAAATAGGGAAGTGTGCCAGCTACTTTCATCCTGGCTTAGATTGCCAACTGCTATTCCTTATGCTTTCAGCGCCCAAACCAACAATGCAGGCAGGATGTTTGGCGAACGACTGGGCAGGTGCTTGTTTGCCATCTCAGCAAGCTGAACAACTGGACACAGCGCTTGAACAAGGGTCAATCTGTGTATATGCATATCTACATATGCTTTGAAGATCCCGCATTGTGACACACACATATCGCACCCTTCACCCATTCAGAAACATTAACCCTCTTCTACAACACGTTTCTGGCGGTTTCGTTATCCACAGCGTTGTGGCTGGGGCAAAGCGCGTTCCAAGATGCTTGATTGCATGAGCGGGCATTGGAGGCCCTTCTTTGCACCTTTGCTTCATGCTTTCCGGGTTCTTTGCCATCCAAAATGGGGGGGCCTTGATTGTAGTTAAAACCCGCATCAGGATTCGCCTGGTTGTCTCTGTGGGTTTGATTGACCATTACTGGTTGGCTGCCAATTCAAAATGACTCCCCTTCGAGCGCGAATGCGGCTTGTTTAGGCTCGTAGAGTCCAGTCTTAGTTAAAACTGCAAATTAAGCGTCAATTATTGGTCAAGCATGGTTGAAACCACGAGCCAAATCGGCCCAGCACAAATTCCTATTGGCCACTCTATTTTAAGAGAGCAACCAATGGGACCAGCGATAGAGGAGACTCCCACAAATTGGTGACTATATGTAAGCTTCCAACAAACAGGCGCCCCATATCTGAGAACAGCGGTCTAAAATAGGAGACTCGCACCTATTTGATGTCCTCCTGGTTTCCTCAATGAACTCCCATGACGCATCTCAAAATGGGTGTCGCAGACACGTCATTGAAAAGAGGGGTCCCCTATGGCAAGGGTTACCTTTTGGCTTCCCTTGAATGCCAACGGGTGCATGAGGATGCTACTCAGGAGAGCATGATGACCCTCTTTCTGTCCATCTCCGGTGGCCTGAGCTGGGTAGAGGCTCTGGATCCCCTCAGAGCCCTGGGCTCGAGGATGTTGTGTTTTTCTTCTTCTTTTTTCCGTGTATTGTTTTTGAGGTCCTTTTCAGGTTGCACCGACATTCTGTGGCTGCTTTGGTTGAAAACCGTCAAAGTTCTGGGGTCTCCGTATTCCGGCCAGAGCTACCCTCACCCAGTAAGTCACCAGGTTGCTTGAAGAAATGATAGCCATCCAGTCAAGCTCTATGCTAGAGGCCTTTGGGGCGGATCTTCCAGGGAATGAGACGGGAAAACCACATGCTTTGTTGGCCACTTGCTTTCAGACACATGGGTATGTCCTGCAATTGGGAGCCTGTGTTTGGATGGTCGCAAAGCCAAACCAAAAGAGAAGCCACAAGGGCCGTCAAACTGAGCTCCTCATGTTAAGACTGATCCAACAAGGGCACACTTCCTTCAACATAGCACCTGCAAGCCGTAGGCAAGTTTTATCTTGAAGGGACTGATTCAAAACGGTCTTGGAAACAAATGAGAATGTTCCGTTGAACCTGCAAAGGTGACCCATGTTTTGCCTGGGGAAGACCCATTTAAGTTGGTTCCGACCAAAGTCATCTTGGTTTGGCTATTTGAAAGGCAATGCTTCAAGCCTTGATGACAACAAGGTGCTGAATGGGCTTTACACGATCTGCCCATGGCATGCCAGAGGGCGTAGCCAAGGTTTTTCCGCCGCATGTGGGACTTGCGCGCGTTCTTGGCACCCAGGCTTTGGCTTTTGGGTATGTAGCACTTTAAGCGACTCCATGTTTGACCGATCATCTGAGTGGCGCGGTTGCACTGGTTTTTGTTGCCATATGGCTCAGCTTGCTGAATCGCGTCAAATGGGATACTTGGGACAGGTGCAGTTTGGCTTCAAGGGGATAACACACGGAGCAACCGGCCAAAGACGAGCAAGGCAGCGCCGAGCGGGGACTGAGGCACAAGACAACCGGCTCACTCGCAAAGAACGCTCCATCCAAGAAAGGTCAAGAGGCCACCTGTACGGTTCAAGGGCAACCAACCAAGAACGTGAAGTCCAAGAAGGGCTTCGGCGCAGAACTGCAGCGCAAGTGTAGCAGACTGTCAACGTACTAAACTTCCACCACCAACCAAACAAAGTGCGAGTGCGGTGTCGACTGGTAAGCAGTGACCATAGTGACCAGCAGAAAGAGGAGGCATGACAAGGGACAGTGCTTGATGCGAGTGGCGCATGCTTGACTGAGAGCAAAATCCCAAAAACACTGGGTAATTCATTTGTGACGCCGGAAGCAACAACAAGGTCGAAGGGGGAACTATGAAGCCCTTGGCCAACACAAGTCGACTCACAGAGACAGCGGTTTATGTGCTCTTCTGCGTCGGAAGTGTCCCTTTGGCACTATCTAGGGTTTTGCTACATTGGCCGTAGTCAATCACCTTCTGACCGGTTGGACAAATTACCTCACTGCTTTAGCAGGGAAACCCAAAGTGAGTCATTCTCGGTCAACGACCCTTTTGAGACACAAATGGGGGGCCCAAATGACTCATGACTCGCTTGAGACTGGAACGGAACTTGCGGCTTAGGAGACGTGTCGGAGCTGGCTGCGGGGTGTCTCATTGTATACATCTTTATCTCCACCTTCGCGATCCTAAATGAGCCTCGGCCAAGCGGCGAAGCTGAGGCTGCCGAGTTGACTTCTAACATCGCTGATGTTCCAGTTGCAAACGTCCAGAGCTGGCCAACGTTTGCCAACATCTGAATTTGAAGCATCTTTGGACTATGCTGATGAACAGTGAAGCATTTGAAGTCCTAGGTTTAATGTTACTGCTGGACGTTGACCACAGTGTTGACCTTGTGTTTTGAGGCCATCAGGGTGGCCATGTTGAGCATCACGTGTTGCATTGGCGTTCAGCGGGGAAGGTGTTCACGTCATGAGAAGCTCAATTCAAAAGGGGTCCGATCGGAAGAAGGTACTCCGTGTCGAGAAGTTTCTCACCCCAACAAGACGATTGGGGAATGTAGGCTGGGTCGTCAAAGCCGAAAGCACTAAAAGTATTGCCAACCACTTTGCCACTAGCATGCTTGTTCCTTTCATATGGAAACGTCCAAATCTAGGGTTCATGAAACTTGTTCGGTGGCCTTGGCAGACTACGGGCAATCAATATCAATAGTATGACTTGCAGACTTATTGATATCTCACCATTGGGGATTTGGGCCAGCAGGAAACAACATAACCCAAGGATTCCTTGCCAGGGAAACCGATATGGGTCAGCTACGCCCAATACCACCAAGAGGGGACCACCACGAAGCGATGCCCATCAATCAACCAGCAAAACAACGAAGGAACTGACCAAGCAATTGGTTTGGCTGGCTCGCAATAGTGATTCGACCGGTTCTGACGTGTTTTTCCCAAGCTTGGTTTGCATTTTATCCTGGAATGGTCTAGCTTTGTTTTTGTCAAGTTTAGCCTTGCTGGCCTTTCGGTTTTTCAAATCAGTTACGTGTGGTTTCCAAACGTGAACCTTTCAGTTCCAAGTCCTTGGGGCAAATGGGTCAACCGGGAATGAATCAACCAATGACTCGGGCCGAAAACAGGCATAGATGTTATGTTGGCATCTTGCTGCGCGATACACAGGGCTTTGTTGCCTTTTGGACAATGACGCTTTGCCTGCCGCAAAACAGCCATGTTGCGAGGCTCAAAGTTCCCAGCCATCAGGAGCTGGCCCTTTGAATACCTGTGTTGAGGCTTGTCGCGGAAGGCACTTGTCCTAGCCAAATCTCGTGCCCAGAAACCACCTAGGGGGTGATGAGGCACTCACACAGGCGGCTCTTGCAAACCACTTGGCTAAGATCGGGCGTCTTCCGCCTTCTTACTTTTTTTACGACCTGCGAGGTCGTGACCGGGGTTTTCTGCAACAACGCCATAGATTCCGCCAAGGCCGACAAGGCGCGGGACGCTTTGTGCCCGAAGTCAGTACCGCTTGTCTGGTGGCTCGGCCCGGCCCAGTTGAACTGTTGGCCTGTTTGGCCCATTGCTTGTTTTAACTTGTTTGACCTCTCAACTTTATACCTGTTTGGAAGCCATGGCCCCCCAAAAGGTTGGCTTTGCTATGCAGAACTCGGGGCCTTTCGGGGAAGTGACGCGCAGTCCTTTTGCAGCCTCAGCGCTGTCAGGACATTGCCATCATGAAGCAGATAGAGCGTCACAAGGGCCAGTTGCGGGCGCTGAAGGGCGTTTTTCAGGCGCCTTGTTGGCAAGTCATTACAAAGCGAAAACCCACATGGCCATGGGTCAAAATCAAAATCGTACCCCCAGTGAACATCCCAACCCCCACTAAAATGGGTGGTGCACCTACCCCAAAATGCTAGCATTGGTTTTGACCCACAGCCACATGGGCTTCTAAAGATGGTGGGTTTCCTTTGGTTTCCCGACGAACATGGCCTTGAGACGCCTCTACATAAAATCAAGCTGGAGCATTGGAAGCCTAAGATGGGAGTTGAGAGTGTGCCTCCTTGAGTTATGCGGAAGGCGTTGCACCCAATCTGTGATCACGCAAGGGGTGAGCCTGCCTGGAGTGAAAAAGAGGGAGCGGGACCCTTGCGAGGTTCCTACCTGGAGTCTTACTTTGACCCTTTCAACATGACTTTGCATGACCCATAAATGTGGATTTGTACATTGTCAGTCATTGTTTTGGGTCAAAGGTGAAAGGTTGACTCCAGGAACGCTTTTTGGGAGTCCCTGACGATTTAGTTCGTGTCCCTTCTCGTGTTGACAGGAAAACCCTGGGCCCGGAAGAACTGTGCCCCAGGAGATTGATGAAGACTGCAGCCGGACAGTCAACATCAACGAGCTTAAGGCAGGACGCCGGATTTGTGAGGCGCTTCTTTCTTCAGAAGGTGCAACGACACCATGGTTTGGGGCCCCGTTTGTCCAATCCCAAGCCCGTTTTTCTGTCACCCCGTGCACATGGTTTCGGAGTGAACAAGACAGCTTGGGCAGGTCAAACAAATGGGTTTTGTCTCCAAATTGGGAGACTAGAAGCCCAGCGGTCCTTTGTCCTTTGCTGAAACACATGAACCTGGGCCTAGTCTCAGTGCGTGAAGCAAATCCCAGCCCCGGAAAGACACACCGACACACCAACATTTGCATCATATGCGATTGTCATGTTATGAAATGTGAGACATTTGAGGGTGGTGGCCAGTTGTTGATTATGTGGTGTACATTGGTGCCAGAAAAGCACGCGTACATCGCACAAGAACCACTGGCACCGAGAACAAACATGATCGTTTGTGCTGATCGGCATGCGCAATCTCAGGCGCTGGCTGTTTCGTTTAGTTGTCGGTGGAATACAAAGGGTCATAGGAAACTGACAGCAGTGCATGTACATGTGTTTATAATTGTACCTGTCTTGAGGCTGTTCAAAGGGAATCACAAGGAAGAAACAGGAGTGTTCTTTTTCTCCCATTTGCGGCCAGATCCATGGGGAGGTCCAACCCAGCCAATCCTCTTTGACACAGTCTTAGCTGCCCCCCTCCCTTCCCCTCCCCCCCCGCCCCCCCCCGCGCAGGCTACCACAAACAAAAACCTCTCTGGGGAAGTTCAACTGAACAAAGACTTTTGATATTGTCTGTCTTTCTCACACCATTGCGTTTGTGTTCTGAACCAACATGTTATCATGGGGACAGCAGTCTGCCAAAAACCCCGTGATCAGCTTCTCCCATGAGCTTTGGAAAGAGGGGAGCAAGCTTGCTAAATGAACATATTGGTCACGCCAATCGATTCCTGGTCATGTCAGCAAGGGAGGGAAGCTGCAGGACAGCGGAGAAGTGCTAAGCTTTGGATACTTAAGGTCCGCAGACTTACATAATGATGTAAGATTTACTGTAGGCTTGTGAACGTGTACCTTTTGAGAATAATGGGTTTGTTTTGGGTTTTCGTTGATCACCCTTCGCAAAGCAACTCCCATGGTTGGAGCACACTCTAGATGTCAAACTGATATGCTATGTTGCGCTCGGTCTTGGATATGTGGGGCGCGTTTCACGAGTCATGTCTCCCTTGGATCAGCGCGCGGGAGAAGCACGCTGGCGGCCAAAGTTCTACAACTAGTGCAGTGTGCAGACGTCTTGTTCTGGCATGTTATTTCATCCTTCAAATCTGTGCCCCAAGAAGCGTTGTAAACGAAAGTGCGACGCAGTTCTTCCCGCAAGCCAGTGCTCTGTACCGAGGCTCCAGGTGGACCTGGCTTCAGGGCTCCGAAAACACCGGAGGGTGCCTTTCTTCCAGGGGCCCCTGCTGAAAAAGGGGGGGGGGGGGGCGGGTCGGCCTTTGCTCTCCCCACGTTCTTGCGTTTAAACATCACTGGCACCAGTTTTGTTTTATGGGAGGAGGGCTACAGGCTCCCGTTTTTATATCATAAAACCTGTCAGGACGAAATGTAAACGGTTTCCTTTTGTTGTTTTCACCGATGCCAAGTTCTACCCTTCCAAGGTCTTTGGAGCAACCTTGTTTTTGACAGCCTCTCCGCCGATAGGAAGCCCCCAGTTGGAAACCCCGAAAGCACCAGAACCATTTTCCGCGGATTGGCTTCCCAGCGCCCCGGAAGCCTCAAGCAACCTCGCCTGTCATCAGACCGCCATGTCCCAGCAGAAGTTGTCGAGCTTCATGGAGTCTATGGACATCAGCACCCAGGACATTTGGACCCTCTTCATGCCACTCGGCGAAACAGCCCGCCGCCAAGAGCCCTGCCCCTCCCCCGCTGTTTGCCTTCATCTCTCCCTTCGTCTCACTTCGTGTTCCTTCATTTCAATGCCATAGTTGTCTTTCATTTCCCTTCATCCGGGGTCCTCTGTCTCCGGGTTATTTCTCTGTTTTGCCGTTCTCCGCATTATTTTGTTTCAGGTGTTTCAACTGCAACAATCAAAAAGCAGGAGTGGCTTGCAACAGGGAGTGAACATGAACAACTGGAAGTGATTCTTGGCTGAAGCAATTGGAATCAAGTCTTGTCTTTTTTCGTAGTTGGGGCCGCACATGTGCAACTCTGTACACCATCCCAGCAATTATGCAACTCTGCGCACTCGAGTGGGTATTCCACAGATTTTACTATGCACTCTCCTGAAACTCCGTCTTCATTTTTTTTGCGGGAGTTTGCAGGTTTTTGCGCGAGTTTGCGGGCTGTTTGCGGGTGTTTTGTGCTGAGTTTCAGGTGTGGTGCTTGCCGGTGTTGCCAATTTGTCGCCCAAAGGCAATAATTCCGAATTCAGAAAATATATTAATTCTGAAGAAGTGATTCTGATTCAGGTGAACGATGCTGATTTAGAATATTTCTGAATTGGAGGGTTCCTTCCGTCAAGTACCGAAAAACTGCGATGTTTCAGGTGTGCAATCCATTTCCAGAAGCGGCAACCAATTTCTAGGAGTTTTACCACAAAAAAAACCAGGAGTTTGAAAACTCCGTGTTGTTTCACAGGGACCCTCAGAAAACTGGTAGTCTCCGGATTGTACACTTTAGATTTCCATGATTTGGAAGGTCCAGGATAGTAATTTTAACTGTCCTTTGTTTCCCTTTATTTCCCTTCACTTCACTTCACTTCCCTTTATTTCCCTGCACTTCACTTCACTTCCCTTCATTTCCTTTCATTTCCATTCATCTCCCTTCATCTCTCTTCATTTCCTTCGTTTCCTTTCATTTCCCTTCAACTTCATTTCCTTTCATTTCCTTTGCTTCCCTTCTTTTCCGTCATGTTCCTTCGTTTCCCTTCATTTTCCTTCAACTTCATTTCCTTTCATTTCCCTTGCTTCCC